CTGTCATGCGGTAATATCCCAGCAATTAACTCTAATAGGCATTTTTACTGCTGGAAATGATAAAAAATTATTACAGGTAGATTATTGAAAATCCAACGACTACTAAAGAATCAACTGTTAGGTAAGATCCTCTCTTGCAAGCTATGAAGCATGGACAACTATAGAAGGTGGCTGAGTGGGACATATAGTCTAGGTTAGTGCCTAGGCTTCATGACTGCATCGCAAACATTCACCAAAGCAAAAACATTACATGTCTACCTGTTGTAACTTGCTGGTAATTTTACATAGTTAAATTGCTTGAGTAAATTATTAACAGCACATTTATGCGAAAATAAAAAGAAAAAGTGCATGGATTTGAAATGACTAATGGATCTAGTAATTTCAAATTCAACAAATTATGTGGAACCAGTAATTTCAAATCCCACTTTAAGTGCACTGTATCCAGGGTTTTGCATAGTTTTTCTGCCTAATCTAGTCACACTCTCAAAAATCGAATTCCTTTCCTATAAATCATATGAAACCAAAAAGTGAACAATGCTCATCCTATAAAAGCACTCAAAACCCCAGATGAAGAAACTAGGCGCATTTCATGGTAAACGGCGCAACTGCAAACAATCAAACGTCAACAAATAAAATCCCAGAAATACAACGAAAGTTAAGTTTCATGCAAGAAAAAGAATTAGGTTTACACTCATTCAATATAAGGTTGAGTCTAGTTAAAATTAAACAAGTTGAGAAAATGGAATTGGGTGATCTAACTAACAATTACTGTATATATGTCGTTACAAATTAAGCTTAGAAATGAAAATATACCTGATGAGAAAGATCGAATTGCGCCAATATAACCTCAGCAGCCTTCAAGGTCTTATCAATGTTCTCATGGGCTTTCCGAATAGAATGCGTCCTAATCTGCACAATCCAATATTCAGACAAGCCAGCCCAAACAACGAAACACAAGCTTAGGATCAAGCATATGAAACCAAGTCAAAATCCGAGAGATCCGCTGTTTGGTCACTGAGAAAATAAAAGAAGAAAAATATATATATACATATATATGCTACTCTTCTGTGAGGAATGTAAAGGCCAAGTCAAACCCAAAAGCCGCGATCCGAACGTGGAAAAGAAAACGCAAGGTAGAAGAAGAAGAAGATGAGAAGGTGGGACTGACCTGGGTAGGACGCATAGCGGTTTCGAGGGCGGAGAGGCGGTGGTCAAAGGAGCCAAGAATTGAGACGACGCTGTCAGTGATAGTCTGGCTCTTTTGCAGTGACTCTCTCATGGTGGCTGCTCTCGCGCTCAGTGAATCGCCGGCCGGTGCGGCGGCCACAACAGCCATTCTTCTCCTTGTTGTTTGAATCTTCTTCTCCTTGTCCTCCTCCGTTGTTGCTGCAGAGCTTCTTGAACGAAACAGGAAAGGAAAGAACAAACGAGGATTTAATTTAAATTTTTTTTTTAATTTGTATTTAATAGTTTAGAGTTGGCGAGATGGTAATTATGGACCCCACTGATAGTTAGACATTTTCCTGTGGTTTCTTTTTTTATTCTTTTTTATTCTCTTTTTTTGGGGTCAAAATTCCTGTCTTTCTTCGGACACACTGTTTTTTCTCAAGTCTCCTCTCCTCTTTCTATATTCTCTATCCAATAAGAATCTTCATTCCTACCTACCAATTTGGTATTGGGTTGGACCGCACAATAATTCAACAATAATTTGATATTGTGTACGTTATTGATGAGAGTATAGATTAGACGAGACCAAATCTTTTACCGTTAAAATAAATGTGGTATTTTTGCGATCTTAGTTATTAGTTGATGTATATTAAGTTCATGGCAATAAAGTTAAGAAAAATCAAATTTATAAATACGTTACAGTCAATAATTGAGGGCACATAGACCACATTCATTTTGATTTCAAAACCTCGAGATCTTTCTTGAAATTTGAAGGTACTTACATGTCTTAACACCATTAAGCGTCCAGCCCACTGGCTTAAAATATTTAAAACCCCTTGTTTGGATATATACCCAAATAGGGTTGATTTCGATAAAAATTTAGCATAATCTTTCATGAAAGTAATACATTACTCAAATTTATCACTTGCGAGCTAACACATTCAAACTCAATCAAGCCTCGATCGACCATTAGGTCACATTGCACAAAAGAGATTATCAGATCGTTCTATTAGAAGGGTCAAAAGTGTCTCATTGTAATGCCTTTGTCGACCAAAGCCAACCTCTACTAGTTACAACATGAGGGCGCAAAATGAACAAAAGCTATGAGATAACGCAGCAAGTGGACAAATAAGATTTTCGCAAACATATTTAAATAAACAAGACATGAAACTATTTAGTAAGACTTATTAAATATTCAAATTTGTTTCTCAAAATGATTTGAGGGTTAACAATAATCATTAAAATAAATATTGAAATTTGTTTATTGTCAATTAATGAACCTAATCTCACATCAATTAAAATAGATATTGAAGAATTTCAACGAAGAGGAGTAAGTTAACTTAAATGGTTTAATTTATTACATATTAGGCTTAAGATTAATTAATCAAACGAAAAAAATTCTAAATGGGCCAAAGGATAGTTTAAGGTTTCATGACTCATTGGGCTATAGCCCAATGGTTTGTACGACAAACTAAAAGGGCCCAATGAAACACCAAATTGAAGGATGAAGGTGTGACTGGTGGGCCCTATATAGCTTCAAGACTTTTTAAAGGGCTTTTAGTGTGAGGGAAGGAGAATGAAGGCATTTGGATGTTCACTTTCTCTTATTTGCTTCCAGGGTGAAGGGGGACGGAAATAATATATCTATCTCTATAACTATGAAAATTAATTATATCTATAATCGTAAATTAATCATCGAGTATTATCTATAACTATACCCATCGGATAATGGAATCTCCATCGGTTAAAAGTTATATCCATCTTTATTAATACAAAAAATATATTTGCTCAATTGACGCATGATAATTTAGTAAATATTAATTTCATCATTAAATATTCAATGTATAAAATGATTTAATTAATGAATCTTGTGGAGCATAAAAATTCAAGCTAAACATTGATAATGTTGGTTGATCTTTGATATCTCCCATAAATACCATTAAATTGTCATAGATTTTGATTCATATAAAAACTTTTGAACTTTGCCACAAAATGCAACTCACACAATGCAATTTTTGTATTCTTAAAGTAATGGATTCGGTGAATAATGAATATACATATATTATATAATACTTTAATATTATATATAATTATGTTATATATTATTTGGTTTGGAGTTGGGTACGAATATGGATTGAGGATTCCTATAACCATATCTAAAATCATAACCGAATAATATCTACGGTTTTCCCCATACCCAAATTACACCCGAATTTTCATATCCAAATTCAATCTATTCAGGTGGCTATCCACGATTATCGGGTTTAACGATTGGAATTGTCATCCTTGTCTTTTCCCACTCTTAGCTTTAAGTTTTTGGTTCATCAACCCTTAAGCTTGAATAAAATGAAAAAAAATGATTTGTTTTATAGTTCATGATCTCTAAGCTTTCGCCTCTGATTAAATTATAAGCATGTGGTATTCAAGGATTCAAGTAATCCTCTATTACACATTATTTGCTATATCATGCGGTATAAAAATGTGATATGAGTAACATTATTGTTTTTAAGGTTATGAGAGAATTTCAATAAAATCAACTGAAACATATAAAGAACGAGCATTCATACGCGATATACGGGAGAATTGGTTTAATGCAACGCTCTATAAGGGTTTTTATTCCCACATTACGGATCGCGATGTTCGGCGGTCCCTCGGTCTATAAGGGGTTGGAAGAAAAATCTCTCTCGAGTAAAACAATGTGTGAAAAGGCCTAGGCAAGAAAAAACGAGGCCCCACGAGCCAAAATTACAACGCTACTCAGGACTCTTTTGAAACTGCTTTTAAAATGACTAAAAATGCTTGTGGTGAAAATATTTTTGACTCTTTTGGACTCAAAACCAGTTATGTGCTTCTTGCACAAAGCACTTCAAGTGCTTTTCTATGATTCACTTGCATTTTTATTAAGGATTAGCTCCAAAAACACTTTTGTGAAAATGCTTTCAGTCATTTTAAATGCACTTCCAATCGAACCTCAATCGTTAATACAATTCATAAGCCACATAGGGTCCTCATCAACCCAGAAATGATAAACCCCGAACCCAAAGACGACGGGCCAGACGATGAGCAATGTTTGTCAGCCTCTTTTGGGATGTATTGCACACTAACCACCGTCCTCTCATGATGCTCTGTATTGCCTCGACATATAAGCTTTCTAACGCATACCAGCTTCCCCAAGCAGCGAGTTTGTTTCCACCTCCGACACCAAACGGATGGTGTCCACCACGAACTCCAGCCCAATATTGATGGCATGGAGTAGAGAGATGAGTGCACGGGCTAGCAACGCCACCACTCCACAAAGTTCTCCAGCTTAATTCCAAATAAGAACACCCATTCCTCGACCCCCTCCCTCTGCGTCAACATTCTACAGCTTCATGGCCGCGAAAACACAGTGCAGTGCATTGTCGATAAACCATCGAAATAGCAAAACTACAGTGCATCGCCGACAATCCTCGATATCCTTTTCGGATAGTCTTTCACTTTCTAGATTTTGGAATTAACATGTGTATTTGACTAACTTTTTTGTTAGTTGATGAAAAGTCTAAAAGCTAAAAGTTAAAAATTAGAGAATGCAAAGGTATAAATAAGTTAAAAACTATGAATTTTACTTTATTAACTGAAACAAAAGAAAACACTACAAATTAGCTGAGACGGTTACATAATCCGAAGAGACTGTATTGTGAGTGACTTGTATCAACTAAATAACAAATTACGATTATTTATTATGAACTAATCCCTAATAGACAAGTAAACGAATCCTAACTCTAACAGGCTAAAGCCAAATCCTAAACTCAATAATCCAAAACCTAAAATACTAATATTTTCCAACACTAATATAATAAAATATATATGGCATCTAAATCTAAATGCCTCAATAAGTAATGTCTCTTAGTTCTAACACAAATTTAGGCAGGGAGACTCACACATAACTGATTAATATAATTGCTCGAAATTAATGTAATACTCACTCGACTCGAGCAGTTACAATTTAGAGGGTATGACATTACCACTACTAGTACTAACCCACAAAAAAAATTTCCCCGTTGGAATCTCCTCAGGAGGAAGCAATGCCAGCCTTACGCAAACACTGGCAGCTTCATCGGCTGTGTGGTCGCCCTTAAAACGAGTCATAGATGTCTGCGTGAAGCCGGGACAGAAGCTATTCACACTCATACCCCTCCCCTCATATTGCTTGGCCAAAACTCTTGTGTATGAATTGAGTGCAAGCTTTGACACAGCATAGTCGGTCCATACTTCAGGCCACCCTTGGCTCTTCCATCTGCCGCTCTTGACGTCTTCAAGAAACAAACTAACCACCCCCTCGATATCTTTTTCCGACAGTGTTTCGCTTTCTAGAACTTGTTTTGTGCTAGGGTTTCTTAGCTTCTGCAAAAATATATTGAGAGATTGATGATCGAGGTTTAATGCATGCATACGTTGTTTCATGAGCTTAATATATTGAGCAGGTTTAATTTTTCGATCGCTTACATTTAGTGAGCCGAGTCTGGAGCTAACGTTAAGTATCCGACCAATGGAGGAGGTGCTATGAAGGAACATGGGCAAGAGGGCATCAGTCAGTAACTTGGGTCCGTAGAAGTTGGTTTTCATCACTGTCTCGGCATGTTCCACCGAGTTTTCATTGATATCATTAAAAGACACAGCTGCATTGTTCACCTTCATTTATTCAAATTTATAATCAATATAAAAAGTACGTAAAACTCTACATATGTACCAAGTTATCAACGTACAATATAACCCTAACTAAAATGTAAAACGCCATGTACCGAATTCAAACCCTTCACCCTTTTTCAAGCGTAGCTTAGCATAGTAATATCGTTTGTATTAAAAAAAAAAATATCAATATCCACTAAAAGTTCCTAATTACAGTATGAAATTTCCAGATATTATTAGTCTGATTGATCAACTAATTGGATACTCCTAAACATTTGATCCACTTTGACATGATTGTTCTCTATAAACGTGAATGTCTCCACCAACTTTTTCGTCCCTCATCAAATTCACCTAACAAATAAATATTGAAGATATACACCCACATATCGATTATATATAACGGATCACGTTTTGAAATATGTAATGTAATCACGTTCATGCTTAACATACTATGATGACAATGCATCATGAATTTATAATGTAGAAATCACCTTTGTTATAGTAATAACAACGTTATTATATAACTTTGAACTGTAATTAAATTTTGGCAATTATAGTGTAACCTTCCTCTGAATTTTATAATTTAGGCGTGGGATATTAATTTCATTTTGTAACACCATTTAACATGAAAGTAAAGATAATTTCATGTTGTAACGCTATTTAACGTGAAGGTAAGGAGTCAAAAAGTGAATAACAATATATAAGAATAATTTCATTTTGTAACTTACAAGAATATCCAGTACCGCATAGCTGTTTTTGAACCATGAAGTGAAAGATTTGATAGAAGAAGGATCGGAGACATCAAGGCAAGAGAAGGCTACATTATGAAGACCTTGAGCTCTGAGCGCCTCAACAGCCTTGCAACCCCTTTCCTTGTCTCTGGCTGTTAATATCACCGTCACTCCCAACTCCGCCATCCACTTCACAACTGCAAACCCTATTCCCTTGTTTGCTCCGGTCACTATCGCCACCGTGTCCTCCGACCACCATCTTCTCCGATTTTGATCCACCGCCATCGAAATTTTACAACAAAGTGATTAAAATTAAACAGCACCAATGATATTGAATGATCCTGTTGGAGTAAATATGTTTTTATTTAAATATTTTAATTGCTATGTTTTTGTCCGTTGTAGTTTTTATATTTTGGTTTATTACAACCATTAAATGTATATAACCTAAATTGATTTTTAACCTTAGCTTTTGATAAGGAGTAATCTCCTTCACTAACTTTGAAACGTGAGAAAGCTTCTCACATTAAATAATTGGATGGAATTCCTTCTCTGAATAGAGAAGATGATGAGGTCCCCATTCATTCTTTTGTTCTGTTTTGAATATTTACTTTTTTGATTTCGTCTGTTTTGGTTTTGTCCGTTTTGTTTCTTTAAGATTTTCAAGTCCTGATGTGGAGCCAAAAATAATCAAGAGGCGACACATGAATTTTTGGGTTAAAAAGACAAAATTACCCTTGAGGCACATCGAAAATCCTACATGTGAGCAATGGACAATCATCCCTCAATCAAGTCAAAAATGCCCAAATAGGTATTTATTTATAACCTATTTCATCCATCCCTCATCATATCTTATCCACAAGGTAATCCCCCAAAACATTCATTTTAAATTATGTTAATTAAAATATTTATTACCTAATTAATCTATTAATGGCTAATTAAACTACCAATTACACCCAAAAAACACACAAAAGGCCGGTCACCTTCTCTCCCAAGGGGGCCGGCCATGCCTTATATATTCTACCTCATTTTCTCTAAAAAGCTAGGTCTTCACTCTTGCTAAACACTCAAAATTCTACAAACACTTTTCTCTCAAAATTCTAACTTTGGCATCGAAGATTCTTCAGCCAAAGTCCCCCCCCCCATTCATCGTGGGTGCGTGAGGCTCTTGGCCTTGACCTAAAGTGTTATTTGCTTTGTAGGTGCAATTTTGTCTAAGAACAAGGAGGAAGAAATTTGCATCCACACCTGATTCTGTCAAACTTGAAACGTATACTTTATCTTTTTGCATATATATATATATATACACACGTTCCCTGTATCGAAGAAAATATAGAGAAACAACAGCGTATATATTTTTCTTAAAATTGAGTTCTAAAGCAACATATAGAAAGGGTGTGAGTTCAAAAGTTTTTTCATTGTGCAAGAAAGAACTTATCAGAAGAAGGTTCTGGACTGTTTTATCCTAGGGACAACGTGGTGTTTGTGAACTGCTTGCACACTTTGGGCAGAGCTGCGAAACGTCCTAAAGAGAGCGACTTAGTCCGCGACTCATCCTAAGAATCATTCACTACTCCAAGCTTCTACATTTTCCAGGTAACTTCGTTCCTTTCTATTTCATTTTTCAACAAACCCCATGCATGCATCTACCAAAATTTAAAGCTCAAATATATAGTGATGGACTTGATGGTTAGGGACCAAACCTAAATGCATAAAGGAAGAGAAGAAAAGAAAAGGCGAACTAATAAGACGTATCTTAAACCCAACCTAAATGGTTTAGGTTAGGGACCAAAACGAAAGTAATGAAACCAAGTAATAAATGTATCTAAACTACGGCATGTAGATAAAGGAAGTATACTGCTTTAGCCAACTTAATTAAGCTCAGATCTGCATAGTGTGATGTAAATTGAAAAAAAAAAAAAAAAGAAAAAATCAACTACGTACTGTCTTATGATGCAAGAGAAGAGCAAAAGTATATTATCTTTTACCTGGTGGTTGGGGTTGGGAAGAGGGAAGGAGAATGAGAAGAGAAAGTTGCTTCTTTGGACTCCATAACCTAATTAAAGTTGGGGTCAGAGAGGTATGTTAATTGGAAGGGAGGAGAGGATTAATGGTAGCAAATTAGCACTGTGTATTTGTAGACCAAATTAAAGGAGATTAAGAAAAGGCAAGTGTGTGAATTGGGCATTAATAAATTGAAGCCACATATCATATGACATACACATAAATAAATTAACAAAACCAAACCCACCCACGTTCCTAACTAAAGCTACCTCCTTGTTTCTTTCTTTCCCTTCCTTAGTTTTATGTTCAACTGGTTGCCTTTCCCTTACATATTTCAATTCTCGTAACTTTTTTCAAGGATCCAAATCGTCTATATTCAATTAATATACTTAACTTAAAACCATTAAAATATTTATTTGCAGTGAGGAAAATGAACTAATACGGTTTTACAAAGAAATGCTAAAACGACTACCGTTTAATCCACCGGTTATATAGCTTCAGATTTTGCTATTTTAGCCTAAAAGATAAACGGTTAGATTGTTAAAATACATTATAGAATAATGTTTATCAATCATTATACACGTGGACGCCACATCACGTGTTAATAGAAATTTTGACAGAAAGCCTAACACAAGTATGAAAGTCTCCAAAATCCTCATTTCGGTAATGGCACTGGGATAAAAAAAATTTAATGTATGAAAGTATGAAAATCATGATAATATAAAATAGTAAAGTGAGAATTACCCTATAATTAACATGAAGCAGCTGCATGCGCCCTATTTTTTTATTTTTATTTTTTATTTTTTATTATCAATTACAAATGCATAAAAATGGCGAGCAGCACAACATCTTTGACCAGAAACGGCTTAGAGTAGCTTCGATTGATCTGTGTGGTTCATCTGTTGGGAGATAAACATCGTCCTCAAACTGAAGTTCAAAGTCAAAGGATAACAGAGCATTGCTAGTACGCCAAGAAAAGAAAGAATAAAATAACAGATTAACGTCACCATAAAAATCCACACGCAATTGAAAGTCTTCCATTGGCATCTCTATGTTTTCGTTATACTAAGGATTTGGTTTCACACATCTCAGTAAACTTAATCCCTTATTTCAAAGATGCGTCATTGTCATGACCTCCAGGTGCTCCGGTTAAGATTGCTCCAGTTAGAAGATGCAACTATGAGATGGTGGCTGGTGGCTCGAGGCAAAAGGGGTAGAGGAAGACCTAGGTAGACTTTTGAAAGAGACTAGAAGAAAAGATATGGAGTACTTGAAGCTAACGGAAGACTTGGTGCAAAACCAAGAGCAATGACGTTCTAGGATTTATACAGCTGACACCACTTAACGGGATAAGCCTTGGTGGTTGTTGTTGTTGTCATGACCTCTAAAACACATGTATATTGTATACAATAACTGGCTGGGTTTTATCAACTTGCAAATTATTCGAATGATGAAGTCTAGATATTTAGTTTCCTACGAAGTCTATGCCTAACAGAATATTTGCAATTTTAAATTACAACTTTGACATAAGAATATTAGCAATTGTATGAATAACCTATTTCCTACGAGATCTAAATGTAAATTCTGTAAAGCACAGGAAATACCGATCCCAGTATGGCGAAAGGAACAGCAGTTTTCAAACAGTGTCACAGAACTACTGGACAAAGCGGAGACCACGAGCATACTAGACTTTAAACTGGCTATGAAGGGTGAGGGCTGAAGAAACCAGGAAGGCAAACCATACTGCATGCCGCAGTGGAGAACTCCTTTGCGAGGAAACATGGGATGTGAGCTAAAAAACAACATGGCACTAAGCAGAATAGCAGGAAAAGATTGGTTTGGGAAAGTTGCCGAGTAATAAGCCAGACTAGCCAGAAATCAATTTATTTCTTCAAATACTAGATATATACGGATGAGAACCACTGAAGATTAGTATTAGTTTTAGTTTTAGAAACCCTCTCAGATCCTTCATCTTTTTAAGAAAAGTACAGACTAAAAGGCTAGATACTCATCCAACTACCTTTCTTTCAGGTCATACAAATCATGAAACCAAATCAAAATAAACTGTACAGAAATTCAATCTGTTGGTAAATAAGTATATAGATTTTGTATGCAAAAACTTGTATAACGTACGAGTCTTACCTTCACAATCGTATTATCCTTGCTAGAGAGATTAACAGGTAAGAAATGGATATTTGGCATTTTCAGTTGTACTGCTGCTATGTCAGGAAACCTGTAACCATGAACATGAAAAAGTATTTTATTTGACAAAATGCAAAATAGAAAAAAAGATAGATGTCATACAGGTAAGCACATGCATGTTTGTGCGCTGACAGAGAAATACCCCTTGAGAACAGTCTTTGCCATGTGAAACAGAGTGCTTTGGACAGACGGGCTATACACTCCTTCCTTTGGAGGACCATAGAAAGTGTCAGCCAGAGCTTTTTTCACACTCAGGTATCTTTCGTTGAAGTACATCGACTTTTGAGGGATGCTAAAAATAGATTCATATTGGTACCTGCATGCAATTTATCTCAGTAACATAGATTTGTATTCTCCAAACACCTGTGGAAATTAACTTTGGACTCAATGTACCCAATGAAGACTATAATACAGAAGAAACCTCGAGGAAAACCAAAGTATTAGAAAACCACTTAACAAGCATTATATCACGTCACCAAATGAAAACATGCATACTTCCATGATGCAGTGATTTCTGTAGCCAGTATCCTCTCTCGTGTGTCAGGAAGAGATGTGTATTTGTCCCTAATAAACCCCTCAAAACCTGACTGCTCAGGCAGAATCCAAACAAAAAATCATCAGTATCAACCAACAAACTCAACAAGAGAAAAAGAACATACATGCAAGCTAATATGCAAATAGCAGTTAAAAGTCTTCCCAAATTACATCGCTTGTAATGTCTTTAATGCAATACATTTTCTGTCTCCTTTTCTTGTTCAGTAAATTGGTAATCGATGAGCGTGATAATACAACTACGTGCAGATGATACCATGTTAGTCAGAAACCACGAAACAGTAAATTTTGATAACTCATAAGTAGCTGGATGTTGACGCATTGGAAGTTATGTTTCCAGGTTTTATCACTCTCCAGCAAGGGCATCAAGAAGCTTCAAGATTTTAAGATGCATCTGTGTTTCCTTACAGTTAAGACTTGAATAAGGAATCTCAATGACTGGTCGGAAAAGTTTGCCTTCATGTCAGCAAAGCTCGAGGTCTGATCTATTTCCTTCAAGGGGGGTGTTAGGGGCTGGAATAGATGTTCAAGAGACATTTACCATCAAAGGGGGGATAACAGGGGGTGAGAGTGGGTCCATTTCCTTTTGATCCAATTTGGAAGGCAAAGATTCCTGTTAAGATTCAAGTGCTTGCATTTTTGGTGGCTAAAGGGAAAGTTAATACTTGTAATCAGATTCAAAGAAGGCTGTATAATCATCTTGGTCCTCAATCGTGTATTCTTTAAAGGCTGGGGATGGAATTGTCAATCATCTTTTTCTTAATTGTCCATTTACCATACAGATCAGGTAGACATTGTCGAAGGAAACTCATTCAAGTTAGGTGATCCCAAACGGATGTCACGAGGTTCTAATGCAGCTTAAAGTCTTGAAAAATAGACAATATTGTAGTAACTCTTATGCGTAGAAGGGCCATGGCAGTTGTCAAGATCATCTGGATGGAGTTAAATAGATTTGAGTTCCTGGGATTATTCAGGGTAGATGAAATTTTGGATTGAGTTAGTTTTTGGTCTCCCCCCTCTGGGGTTCACTCACAGTAGAGTTCAAGGAGTCTCCAAGTCGTCAGTACTGCTAGACTGAGCTTCAGTGATTTATGCATTGCGGGTTTATGTTTTACTGCACTAAATTGAGAGTGGATATCTTGTCCATAATTGTACATATGACATTCTTCTTAATAAAATTTTGGTTTCTTCTCAAAAACAAAAGAGCAATTACAATTGGTGATTTCTTGTTTTGCAGAAAGGCATTGATTATGACGTTGATATACATGACGCGTTCAACTTTGAAAACCTTGATATAAATTTGATTGGATAAGATTACCTGTGTTGTCTTTAGCAGAGATAGTCCTTCAATACCAGAAGTCAGCCAAAGTGCACCAGATTTCTCAAAAATTACCTCTGTTGTATGCTTCTCAGATCCCAATTTGAAACCTTTACAAAGACAGTGATGAAGAAAATTAAAAAGAAAAGAAATTAAACGAATAGTTGTTTCTACATTGCAAATCAATATGCTTGGAAATATTTTCAGAATATATGTTAAATATAAGGACTTCTACTCAACATTTTGATGAGAAAAAATGGTAACCTAACAAGATTTAATTTTAAGGCAACAAGAATGGAGATGCCATCCAATATGTCATCTCTACAAGCAACTAGACAACAAATTAATCCCGAAACTTATTGCTGTTTAGTTTCCAAGTTAAGGTAACTCTCTGCTAATAAACAATCTTAGTATCCAATAGAATGACGGAACAACGTGGAGCAAATAGGTGAAAATTGCTAAATGCAAATAATCATGTGAAATATGGTGAATTAAATTCCCAAGTTTTCTGATTCTAAAGTGATGGGGGAGCATCCAGAAAGATTTCAAGATTGCTTGGGTCAACTGAGGAATTAGGCTACGGTTCTAGTTAATTTGGGTAGTTTAGTTCTTTATTATTTTTCATGTTTCCCTATGCGTTTGATGTAAATCTAATAGGTTTTATTAAGTAATCTTAATAGGAGTTGGATTAATTAGGTAAGTACTAGTTGGATGAGATTTCTTAATAAAAATGGATTACGGTTTCTAGGCAGATGTAATCTAATGTAGATAGGCTATTAAGAGGCTCGTGTACTCAGTTTTTTTATCGAATGTATTCCAGTTTCAGATTTAAGAGTTTCTCTTGCGAATTTCCCTAGAACTCAAATCTTCCTTGCTACTTCGATTCTATTGCTTCTATCTCTCTATTCTCTCATGCTTATTTGGAATCCACTCCTACTGTGGTTTGGCCCTATTTTACCCGCTGGAGAGCAGCTTATCGAGACTGCCCTGCATCATAAAGTCTTCACTGTCGATATCATATACAGTTACGTTATAGCTTCACCCGCACTTCCATGCAAGACAGAAGATAGACTAACCATGTTTGTGTGGTTGACCATCTACATATGCACGCTCCCATGGCTTCTCCACAATCTTTACTATGGCAGTAGTGACCTACAGAAATAAGAACAACTGGATTTTTTCACTAACTATGAATTATTACAAACAACAAATATTACAAGAAAACAAAAACATGAGATGCCAACTTGAAAGATCTTTAAATGAAAAGCAAGATAAAAATGTGAATACTGTCTAAACAGTAGGCATAGGAAGTTTGTGCCAAAAAATACTCCTCATCATACCAATACTCAAACAAGGCTTCCCAAGAAAAAAAAGGTAGTAAAGACGTATCGTTAAACTTCTTTTTATTGAAAATCGTGGAAATTTAGCATCATAAGAGTTGAAGGCGTAACGGGAACCGTGGGAAAAATGGAGCTAAGGTGGAAACAAAGTATAATATCTTTCAACACCTATCAAATAGCCAGACCATGCTTTGAAATTGGAAATAAAGATTGGAGGCTTGAGCAGACACACAAATCTAATGCAAATAATCTTCACCTATCTCTATCGAAGTCTCACTCAGGGAGACTACTAAAACTACCACTACAGGTTGCAGGGAAGAAAGCTTTCTCCTTTTTTTAATTCGTTTTTATATTTCAAAACGACAACTTTCTTTCTAGATTATGCAAATACTAGAAGCATAAAACATGGCCAGAGCAGTTCCAACCACGTCGTATTCAAAGTGTGAAACTCTTTTTGTATGGGAGAGAGGGCGGGTGTTCGTGTTCACACTTGAGAGAGAGAGAGAGAGAGAGAGAGAGAGAGAGAGAGAGAGAGAGAGAGAGAGAGAGATCAAAGGAAAAGTCCAGACTTAAAGACAACCAATCAAACTTAAAAAAAAACCAACTTCTACAAATGAAATATAAATTCATTTCCATGAATCATGCCTTCAGGATTGGGAATACACATTAAGATGTCCAGATGAAAGTATGATTAGTTAAAGTGACCAGAAAAGACTAATTTCATAACTAACCCATTAGAGGAACCTGTGAGTACCACCAATTATTGATAATAACATATACACCGTAAACCATTAGAAGAAGATGCACCTCTAACCAAAGGAAGACCAGTTATAAGAGAAAACAAAGACCAGGAAGCCAACCAAGAATAACAACTACAGCCATCGTTTCAGCAGCGACAGCAGTAAAAGCATCGACCATTTTTCCTTTTCATCTACAATATGGTATTAACTAATGAAACTTAATTAAAAAAAAAAAAAAACGCTTAAATTACATAGTTTTTACCTGCTGGTAAAGCGATGTGAAGTGTTTTGCAAGTCGAACTGCAAATTCCTCCACTGAAAGTTCTTCTTTACATTCCTTTGCCTTTACATATACCTGTGTTGCAACTAGGTTAAATCCCAAAGGCGAATAGCAATCTAAATGATGGAAACATAGCAGATTTCCAGTACTGGGAAAACTAACAAACATAGATGTCTAATTGTCTACGTACTTTTTTTTCTTTTGTGTCAGTAGGACATTGTATTTCGTATCATCGTGTTAACTGGAACTTGAGTCCATAGCAGTCACGTTAGTTGCTAAGTTATTTAATCACTCCTACATTCTTTTCCTGTATGCGTCTTTTATTTTTATCAATTGAACTGAGGAACCAATTTTTTCGCCCACAGTTTCAACCGATATTTTTGCCATTTGGTGCTGAAAATCATGATCAGCTACTATATAAGCCTTAGGAGTTATCAAATAGCAATAGTTCATTAGAGTTGAAATGTTGCACAGCAGTTTCATTCATTCGTCCATGGACAAGCATGGATAAGACGAGATCATATTACTAACGGTGGTGCTATCCACACACCCCTGTCATCGGATCAAATGAACTGACGAGTTTAAAGAATAAAAATTAGCAGAGTGTGTACATGGTGAAAAAGTGCGTGTGGATATATTTTATACATATTTGAAAAGTTACAAATAATTTATCAATCTAGATAAGAAGATATCATTTTATTAATCATAATCTATGATCATAATCATAATCTCTAATAACATAAGAGTGGATGGAAATGATGATCATGTCGATTGTTGTTGATTTGATTCGATGAGAGAAAGAGGCTTATTACTTACAGTGTTCTTCATGGTATCGGTAGCGACGATATCAGAGTTGTCGCCGCGGGTATAGGCATTGACGCAATCGGAGAGGAGGCTGATGCCGACGTTCCATTCGACGATGGAATGGCGTCCGTCGTTGTTCCGCCGGACCCTGACCACCCTAACCCTTTGCTTCCCATGCCTTTGCTCAAAGCTGAGCCCCTCTATTTTGTTGGCCATCGTCTGCGATTGAGCGATTCAGCGAGTCACCGGCGTTAGTGTGACAGCTATCAGAAGCAGACAGGCTTGCAGCCTTCCTTTTTACTGCACTCAATTACTCTCAACTTTCCATTTGGTTTTGAGCTCTTCTTGTCAGCTTTCTCAGTCAACCAACATCCAAACTTGTCCAACCAACAAAAACCAGGTAACGCTATTATAGCATGTTTCTATATTATATTTCTATACCATTTAGGCATTTGTTATGATATACATAGCCACATTATTTAAAACTTTTGCAAAACCCAAGGAAAGGAAGAAAAAAGACTCCTTGCATATCACAATCATTATTTAATTAACTAGTTTTTCTTAATTATTAATTTATTAAATAATGAACAAAATTTAAAAATATGATTAATTCTAATGATGTGGTTGTCCACGTCAAATGCTACTTAAGATAATATGAAAATGTGGTACAAAAACATTTTATGAATAATATTACTCATAAAAACCATCTCCAACATTTTCTTTTAACTTTTGCGAACCGCTATAATTATAAAAGTTACCTTGGATTAAATAGCATGTTGCAAATGATGAAACGTATGACTAGCATACACCATCGTTGTAGTAAGCAATAATGCTTCCCTTGATAAACCGAAATTTCCGTTCTCCAACAGTATCAACCAGTCAATTAAAGAGAGTTTTAACGAAAAGCTCGCGGTACTGTTATTTTAACAAAAAAAAACCACATTTTTACACTAAGAAGTCAATCCTAGTACTATTTACTTTACCCTTTATTTTATCCTTATCATTAAAACTCAAAGTTTTCAAATATTTTTCACTATTTTTTCCTCTAATTAAACGATATGGTAATGAATGCAGAAGAATACAAGATCTTAAAAATACGTTTTGAGCTTACTTTTTTTACTCTCTTTCCTGCTCATAGCCTTTTAGAAATAGTTTATCAAACGTTTACTTTATTTTTAAAGCACAATAAAAAAACGGTTTAAAAATTTGATGACACAATGTTGAGCCTGAAATTTAATCACAATCCCTCCCGATTCTCGAGATATTTTTTAGGATGATGGAAATAATGTATGATACATTAACAACGCGTTTACGTAACCGTAATCAAAATACAGGAATTGGATTAAGGAGAAATTGAATTGAGGAGGGATTTGATTAAGGAAGAGTTAGAATCGGATTCCTATTAAAACAGTATACTTTAATGTTCTGGAATCGGAATAAAAATGAAACGAAATTCATATAAGTTATTTACTAATTCATCTAAATCGGAATAAAAATCAATATGATTACTAAAATGCCCTTATTGTTTTTGTTTTATTTCTTGCCCATATTACATTTTCACAAAATGTCATTATTGTAAACCTTCATCTTGTCTTTTGTATCTTCCCCAGCAGAAGATGAAAACTCCCCATCTCCCATTTTCCCCCTCGCTTTCATCTTTCCCACTCACCTTAACCCCATAATCACCAACCCTTCTCCCTGCCAAATATTTCAATTTCAAGATTTTCTGGGTTTTGAGTTATTTCTTCACCGAATCTGTGGGTTTATTATCTGGGGTTTGGATAATAAATTCTTGAATCCGATTTGGGGGAAATGTGGTTGGGTTTTGTGAGGTAGTGGTAGGAGAGTAATGCATGGCTACACTTGGGAGGTGGAAGGTGTGGTGCAGACGATGAAGGCGAAACGTAGGGAGCGATGGGTTTGTTGGGTTGAATGGTAGCCGAGCCCCAAATCGAAACTGTTCACACGGCAATGCATGCGAAGGCAGAAATGAGGCACTATGATTGATAGCAAGTCCTTTGTATCCTCTTGTGACGATTTGCCAAATCCTATGGAGGAGGACGTGGATGATTTTGAGGTAGTGGAGCGTGAGGAGGCAGCGGAGGGGTGATAGTTAGCTATCCTGATTTCCTACCCCAACCACACGCCATTAATATTATACCATCCATCCCCCCAAACTAACTCTTACACCCAAACAACATTTCACATCGTTATTAAGGAGAAAGAGCCTATTTCCGGATCTCACTCTCACCCTCATTTCTCTTTCTTTCCGGTTGATTCACACTTTCTGCAATTCGAACGGAAATTGCATGATTTTTTTGGAAGAATTAAAAAGGTTTGTTGCTTGATCGATTTGCTGAAGTGGGTCTCTGTCACTTGATGTCGACGATGAAGGTGACCGTAGTTTCGCAGAGTGGCCGAGAAGTTGTCAAAGGCAGAGAGCTGCTGGAGAGGATGGCAGATGACAACGGAAAAAGGAAATGAGTACTAAAGGTGAAGGGCATTTTGGGAAGGAGAATTTGATTATGGATGGAGCCTTCTCCCCGGAATCTAAATACCACATTCGTCTACGTAATCCAATTTCGACAATATCAGGATTTGAAATCCTGATTTTACATAGGGCCCGCGAAACTGCGCATTCGGCTTAAGTTAGTAAACGGAGGAATGATCAAGAATGGGGAATGACTCCCATTCCACCGTGTTGATGCACAAAATCAGCGAGGATTTTGGTACAACAGAAGGTGTGGAGTTTATGACCTTCGCTAGATTGCTCTGGTCATTAGTGTAGATAAATATGTAAATGAATAAAGACAGGGAAGCAAGCAACACAAGATGTACGTGGTTCACCCAGATTGGCTACGTCCACAGAGTAGAGGAGTTTTCATTAGTTGTGAAGGGTTTACACAAATACATAGGTTCAAGCTCTCTTTTAGTGAGTTCTAATGAATAGTTTAGTACAAATGACATTAGGGATTATTATGGGAGAATGATCCCCTTTTATAGAAGAGAGTTTCTAGCTTTGTTCTGACATTGACACGTGTCGTGTTGTGATTAGCCTTTGATATCAACACGTGTCGCGCTATGATTGGCCTCTCATACTAACATGTGTCATGTTGTGATTGGCCTCTTGGTTGGAGTAAAAGTCTTGTGGGTCCTTGACGGTATGTTGTTGACCGGTGCTTAATAGTTTCGGGATTGGTCAAGTATGGTATAAACAGTGCTCCCCTAAGTTCCCAAGTGAGGAAAGCTCCTCGATTGGGGACTTGCAAGATCCAAGTCATTGAGTAATCACGAAACTTCCAAGTACCGAAGTGTGGTGTCGCCTTCACTTACCTTCTTTGTCCTGTAAGTAGATGTGGCATCTTCTCTTAGAAGTACTTTTCCTTCATCCAGGAGTGGTATCTCTAGTGGGCGTTGACGCACAAGGTAATGTATCATTTTCATTTGAAGCTTACTTGTAGTTTCGGGTTTGGTCAAGTGCGATACAAACCATATAGTATGAGTCCCCCAAGCCTCTAAGCGAGGAGATTTGCCGAAGGAGGTGACAGACAAGGTAAGCAATCAGGGTTCCAAGCAATCAGTCTCAGATCGGTAGGTTGATCTTGGGTTTCGTCTGATTGTACTCATTCTCCCTGTCTCTCATTCAGCAACAAGGATAAAGAGAAGAAACAGGGAGAAGATGATATGAGGTACTCTTGTTTTTGGAGAAGACGGACGAATTGGCATGTGCTTTGTTGTACTTGACTTTCCACATGTGTATTCTTGAACTAGGCTGGAGGGTTTTCTGGTTTCCTCCAAAAGAGCAAGCCGACTCCAGAATTTGAGGGTCAAAACAAGTCTGTCAAACCTGGAGTATGTTCGATCCTCATGATATGAGATACTTTTGCTGTTTGACAAAGTAGTAGATGTGGTATGGCGAAGCTTTGTTCTTCGACAACGGTGTTAGCAAATGTTGTTGAGGCTTCTCGATCTCTTCAATTAGAGCAATGATGCCGAGCTTCGATTTTTTATTTTGTTGAAGTTTGCATGTTGAAACTTCGTGGGTGAACCTTGTAGGTTGAAGTAGTGCTCCCTTAATTTCTTGAGTGAGGAAAACTTCTTGGTTGGGGACTTGAAAAATCCAAGGCACTGAGTAGTCGCGAAATTTCTGAGTACCAAGGTATAGTGGTATATGGTAGGAGTCCCCCAAGTCTCCGGTCGAGAGAGGTGTCTTGCTAGTAGGCAATTTTCCAAACAAAACTTCACCATTTTCCTTTCTAAGTGGTTGCCCAAAACTCTTCCTTCATATATATTTAGTATGAAAGTTGTTTAGGCCCAAAGAAAGGAAGGCCTAGGCTCATCTTTTTTTTTTTTTTTTTTTTTTGGGGGTGAAGCTTTGATGTTGAAGTTTTGTAGGTGAAGTTTTGGTGTTGAAAGCTTTATAGGTGAAGTTTTTGTATTGAAACTTTGTAGGTGAAGCTTTCGTATTGAAGCTTTGTAGGTGAAGCTCTTGTGTTGAAGCTTTGTAGGTGAAGCTCTTGTATTGAAACTTTGTAGGTGAAGCTCTTGTGTTGAAGCTTTGTTGTTGAAGCTTTGTAGGTGAAGCTTTTGTGTTGAAGCTTTGTTGAGAACCATAAATTGATTTTGCTTCACACTATCTTGATCAAGAGTGTGTGAAGCTTTGATGTTGAAGTTTTGTAGTTGAGAGTTGAACCCTTGTAGGTGAAACATTGGTGTTGAAGCTTTTGTGTTGAAACTTTGTAGTTGAAGCTTTTGTATTGAAACTTTGTTGGGCACCATAAATTGATTTTGCTTCACACTATCTTGATCAAGAATGCGTGAAGCTTTTGAGAATTGTAATTACTCTCCATTGATGAAACTTTGTTTGATGTTGAAACTTTGTAGGTGAAACTTTTGTGTTGAAGCTTTGTTGGGCACCATAAATTGATTTTGCTTCACACTATCTTGATTAAGAGTGTGTGAAGCTTTTGAGAATTGTAGTTGCTCTCTATTGATGAAGCTTTGTTTGATGTTGAAGCTTTGTTGTTGAAGCTTTTTAAGGCACCATAAATTGATTTTGCTTCATACTATCTTGATCAAGAGTGTGTGAAGCTTTTGAGAATTGTATTTTGCTTTCACACTGTTGAGAAAGAGTTTGTGATGCAAGCCACACCTTGTTGTAGTCGAAGGTTTGGATGAACCATATAAATTGAATTTGCTTCGAACAGTCTTGATCAAGAGCGTGTGAAGCTTTCTAT